TACCACGGAAAATTTTTAAAATTTGGGTTTCTGAAATGGCATTTCCAGCATTCTGAGAAAACATTCTGGAAAATTTTTAGATTCTCAAAACATTTAAAAATTTGGAATATTTAATATTGGCTATTCCACTATTGTCAACTAGTGATACCCAACTGAATTCCTTAATATAAGTTGGTTAGAATTAGGATAAACATCATTTTTGCACCCCCACCCCCCATGCACCCCTGTTGACCAGAGCCTGGGGGGGGGGGTGCACACCAGAGTAAAATAAAAAGTAAGACACAATGTATAACTTAATAGGTAAGGTTAATGGCCAGAACTAAATGATAAACAATATTTTATAATAAACCCAAATTAGTTCAGCACCATTGGTTCTTATAACACTGTTCATTCCAATACTAGAACATCAGCAATTAACAAAAGTTGGAGTTTCATCCGATGACATGTATGCAGCTATCTGACAGTTTTTAATTTTCAACATTAATTCCCAAAGCCATTATTCTCAAGATTTGCCAAAAAGGTTTTCCAAATAAGTACAGAATAATATTACATCACTCATCACTGTTCATTTTACATTCTTCAAGTAGATGCATGTTTACAGTACAGTATATCTTGTGTATTTATAATTAAATCTTGCAATATCTTGTTCAAAACCCTCAAATCCAAGATAATCGGCAGCCAGCCATGTTACCAGTAAGATTTCTAGTCTGTTGATTTTTAAATAACAAGGTTGTACTCGAATATAAATATTTGTATATCGCTGACAATGTATGCTGTTGTCGCGATATAAGATGTTCTTTTGCTCGCCAAAGGGCTTATTTTACGCATAATTGTATCTCTAAATTGATCATTCCTGACTTTAAATTCCAAAAGCCACGCGATAAGCAGTTTAAGACGTCTTTACAAGTCCAAATATATCATAAATTGCAACAAATAATCCACTCTCACTCCTTGCGTAAAAATATGCCCAGTCAGCGTTTTTAGCTGGAGCTACTGTTTACTTCCGCTTCCGGGGGCACCACTGTTCTATGGTGTTCCGGTTTGGATTATCCCAGGGCTTCTGAGAGCAATAAGCGCAGAAGCCCTGGGTACGAGGTTGGCTGTTGCCATGGTAATGGACTTTCAGCACGAAAGTAGCACATTGCAATGTTCAGGAGAGCATTGTGAATGTGTCCAAAAGATTTCGTCTTCATGTTATGTAAAGTGAAGAAACAGGCGTTTTCCGGATACTATAGTGCAGTATAATACGAAAACCTTAGGGAGCCACCTTAAAATAGTTTTTTATTATTATTTTACGACTTTTAAACACGGAAATCACTCGTGTTCACTCGTGGTCACTCGTGGTCATTCGTGGTCACTCGTGTGTACTTTTAGACAAGATCCGAAGCGGCATGCATAGTGTAAACACCCTCGTTTTTGTACTTCGGAGTGAAAATTAATCCGGTATGAAAATCAATCCGGTATAGTGCAGTTCCAGCCTAAAACAGCTTGAGTCGAGGAATGATGATCTTATATTAGAATGAGATTTTCCAATAAATAGTTTCAAGTAAAGACGAAATTGCTGTAACTTTCAACAAAAGCTCATTTAAACACGGGTTTATCATCCAATTTGTTCTCGAATAAGTTTCAAGAATGCGTGCACAATGTGGACTAATACTGTATGCGTTGAAACCATAGGTTGAAAATAACCAACTTTTGTTGCAGATTACAGCAATTTTCCATTTCTTCAACTTTACATACAACACAAACGTGCAGCAGCTATGATGGTCAACTGACAGTTATCAGTGTGATAAAATAATGTTAATAATTATTCTCATTATATGTACTAGAATTGTACTGTATTTAGTGGAAAATAAATAAACTTGAGAGATAAACTTCAGTTCTCTTTTGCTTCAATTGTCAACATTTCTTCGTTCACCTCAATCTGCTGTTCAGAAACGCTTATGATTAAAAACATTTTCAACCTCTTAATTAAAGACTGGGTCAAGGCTGTTCTGCGCATGTGCTATGTGAGGGCCCTCTGATGCAAAGAATATCCAAATTTCGCGTTGTTTCGGCATCTTCTAAATTGAAACTCTAATCTATATTCATTTAAAATAAAAGCATAGCGAACCAGAACGATGTTAGATATTAACTAAGTACAGTACATCATATTTTATGAATATAGTGCGCTCAGAATTTAAACAAACCGCACATCCGCCGAACAGATTTAGCCCCATCTTTAGGCAACACTTTTACCAACTACATACAAGGTGGATATAACTACATATAACGTTTCTAAAATTAAATACATTTGTAAATATAGTGTTAAAATGCTAACTTGAGTCAATGTGAAAACATTAGATTAAATCACATGACACTCTCCTGTTCAATTAAATAGTCTTTAGTAAGATATGCCAGTGCTAGTACTATGTCATCCAGACGACCATCTTTCGTAGCATCGTATATAGACTGTAAGCTGGTATCCAATGTTTCTTCACCATCATTGAAACGAATACTCAGTGTCTCTCGCACAAATAGGTAAAGCAGCTTGGTACCTGAACAAAATATTGAATCAGAAATGTATATAATACACATTACCATACACACAGCTTGTCCAGCACTTAAATATAAAATATATTATTAAATTGATTATATAAGATTGATTTAATTGTAGAGAACAGTGCATAGCAACAGTTCGCGCTATGCAAATGTTCAATGATTTGCATTATTCAAAACTTTAGAAATGTATTGTTTTTAACCTATTTAGATGCAGGTTTATTAGCATAACATGACCAGTTACCATGGCTAGTTTCGTCACTGGTAGAGTATGTAATCACCATATACAAATTACAAATGAAGAAATGAAGGAATAACTTCAACTAAAAATTAATAATCAATTCCTCCAAGGATTATATAGCGAATAATAATTCGACATCATTTTCGGTTCCTTATATGCGGCGTCCCCTCAATAACGTTATAGGAGACGATCGTACAGAAATGTGACTAACGATAAATGTATATTTATTCATTTTAACAATTAGTGTGCAAAATAGTTCTCCGGTAATGATATGAGAGAATGGCGGCATAAAATTTATTAATATAAATTATTAGAATTAATATAAACCAATATTACAAATTAGTAGAATTCACGATCACTACCTAAAATTTGTATAGATTTCAGTTTGGTTTCGCAGTAACCACTCTACTATGCATTCACTTGTTTCTCTAATAAATAACGTTGCCACGGCCATTGATCAGAACCAGATAGCTGCTGGAGTGTTCATTGATCTTTCAAAGGCTTTTGATACTTTAGATCATGAAATATTATTTACTAAATTACAACATTATGGTATAAGAGGCGTTGCACTACAATGGATCAAGAGCTATTTCTGCAATCGTGAACTATTTGTTCAATATAATGAAACCTGTTCCTCCATGGAAAAATTAAAATGTGGAGTTCCGCAAGGTTCTATTTTAGGCCCATTATTTTTTATTTTATATATCAATGATCTACCGAATGCATTAGAACTGTCAAAATCTTATCTTTTTGCTGATGACACTAGTATATATTATTCAAATTCGGATATCAAGCAACTTGAATTTGTTTTGAACAGTGAACTTCGAAAGCTGGATATCTGGATGAAGTCAAATAAATTGTCTGTGAACATCAGTAAAACAAACTATATCATTTTTCGGCCGAGACAAAAGAAAATTAATTTAAATCTAGTTATCCAATATAACAATCAAATAATCACCCAAAAACAATACATAAAATTTTTAGGAGTATATATAGACGAACATTTGTCATGGAAGGAACATATTAATTATATTTGCAATAAAATCGCCAAGTCTGTTGGAATTATTTACCGATCACGATATCTACTGTCATCCGCAACAAGATTATCCTTGTACTACACACTTATATATCCCTATCTTACTTATTGTAATATTGTATGGTCTTCCACTTATGTAACCAACCTCAATAGAATTCTCCTTTTACAAAAACGAGCTGTACGTATTCTTACAAATTCCGAATACCGTGCACACTCTGATCCACTTTTTAAACAACTCAAAATATTGGATATATTTAAGCTAAATACATTTCACATTGGCAAGTTTATGTTTTTTATATCATCATTGCATGTTGCCAACATGCTTTGATAATCTGTTTACAATAAACAATCAAATACATGGTTATAACACCAGATCTGCCGGTAACTATAGATCTCATGCTTGTCGAACTAATATTAAGCAGTTCACCATCTTATACTCAGGACCGAATATTTGGAATTCTTTACCTACAAATATAACTGCGATAAACACAATTTCGTCTTTCAAGATGCAACTTCGTAATTTTCTGCTTAACGAATAAGGAACAGCTAACTCTGATATGCTACGACCATGTTTATCGAATATTCAGTAACAATATATAAAATTATTGGAAAATCTATTATATATTTTCGTAAATTTTCTCTCTTATTATAAACTTCATTATGTTTCAATTTCATTATATG